TATATATACAGTGTATTTTATAAATTTTAATTTTTTTATTTCTTTCCTCCCCACACTCATTTCTGTGCAGAATCCTTGTATGGAGAAGGCACAGATAAACCTCTGCTGGACTGTTGTGCTTGTGGGACGGCGAAGTATAGAGTTACATTTTATGGAAACTGGTCAGARAAGATTCATCCCAAAGACTATCCCCGTAAGCACATCTGCTCTGTTAGTCTCTTATGTGATTTTATCTGTTGTAACAAAGGTTTATCTGAAAAGGACTACAACTAACAGTGAAGTGATTTTGCTAACAGTGTCACGTTTTCATCATGAGGAGCATAGCCAGTGTAATTTTAAAAAATGAAATTAACATGCATTTTTTATGCAAATGAATTTGTATCATTGAAGGAAACAATTAGTAAACATTAGCCTTTTAATCAAACAAAAATTTGATATATTTTATGTTTTTGTTAAAGCTTATTTAAAATATAATATTGCTGTTCCTGTCTTTSTTTTGTGACAACAATATGTGTTTTATATTGTTAAGTCCTTAGCAGTAATGCAGGYGGTGTGCCACTGTAGTATTGTTGGGTACGATGTGTATATAACCTTGAGCCACACTGTCAGGATGTGAACAGGCTCATGGATYACACTGCCTCCCTTTTCTAAATCAGCCTCTTGGCAGTCAGATCAATATACTGATTAGACTGTAATAAGATAAACCCTGAAATCAAAAGGAGTCCTAATTCACTGTCTTAGGAAGGAGTCACTGGTATGTGACTTAGTCTCACCCATACTGTGTAGCGAGCGCACGCACACACACACACACCAACCCACACGCGCACACAGACAGATCAGCTCAGAAGATGAGTGTAAGCAGTGTGGCTTGTGCTTCATCCTGACTCTTGGGGTGCTACAGATTGATTTMTCCTTGCACAAAGTCATTTCCTAGGTAACTAGTTATTATAACACTACACAAATTGCTCTGGACAGTGTTGTTCACTGACTCACATGCATGGTAATTATGCCCCCCCCCCCATTTCCTCTTTGTTCCCTTGACCTGACTTTGCATTTTTATTGCCAGCAGTACTAAGACATGTTGCTCTCAGAAATAGGCAGTTTTATCAGATTTTTCTTCTATTTTTAACACGTGTCCTTCATTTRTAGGAGAGCCACTTTGGTGGCACATGCTGAATCTGGGTTTCTCTGTACACTTCTTTCAAACTTCTGACAGGACCTTGACAGCTCAATATATTTTTTCCACCATATTTTTCCATTTTTAATTCATGCAGAAGTGCTTGGCTACATGCCTGGACATGAAGAAATATTGAGACAAAAATATCTGAAGTTACTCTTTTAAAAAATAGCCAATGCACTGCACTTGCGAGTAACAAAAACATCAAAATAATAGGTGTCCTTTCATTGTTCATAACCACATGTAAAGTTACTAACTACTCTGTTATTTTACTTAAGTAGAGATTTTGGTTATCTATACTTAAGTAATTATTTTTAGACAACTTTTTATTTCTACTCCTTACATATTTACACACACACACACACACACAC